GGGAGTGTGCACGTCGGCTGTGGGCGGGCGATTACTAACAACGTCATTGGTGAAAAGGCTGCGAAAAGGCGTTCAGCCGCACCCCACTTTGCCCTTCCTCCAATGGCCGCCAGCCCCAGCCATAGCGCCCAGTGCCTTTGATCTGTCGTAGCATTTCGCTGACCAGGATTGCCAGGTGGGCGTGTCCAACGAGACGCCATTGGCGCGCTTTTCCTCTTTCAGTCTTATTGACCGCCATAGAAGGCAAGAAGACGTATCGGGGGAGGCAATGACGTCGTTTCTGGCCGTTTCCTGGCCTCGTCCGAACCCGGAAGATATTTTTAAGCGGAAAACTTTGCTGCCCAATAAGAGCGTTAGCGCCATCACACTGTTGGTTGTTCTCTACCGCTGACTGCATCTTTCGCTGCGAGGTATCGTTGTTCTGCACATTGAGGACTCGAGCAAGTATCACCACCTTCCAGGTCCTTTCCCTTGCATTCCTTGTGCAGGAGAAAGTGGCACGCTGCTGCAGCTGCAAACTCATTCACCTCGCACATGGTTAAGACCAGGGTCCACGGAGTTGCGTGTTTTGCCTTCAAAATGCCCCTCCCCCCGCCTTTCAAACTTCTCAGGGCTTCATCAATATATCTATTATTTGAGTATTGTATTTGTACTTGTGTATTGTGTTGTTTCAGTTGTCTACCTACGTGTGCACACAACAACCAGACTAGATGAATTTATTCACAGAACTCTGAACTAACTGCCCAAATAATCAGCAGTGCAAAATAAAGCGCAGGACGTTGCAAGCGCCTGCAGATCATGGTACAAGACAACGTGTTAGCAAACTATGCAATAAAATAGAATCACCCGTATAAAGAGAGGACATAATTCGAACGAAAAGAAAAAATTAGACAGCAAAAAATAGTCGAATTAAGTGCCAATAATGAGCAGAAACTCTGGAGAATCACCGGTGGCTACCGGAAAGAATACTGTAGTGAAAAATACAGTAGGATGTGTGATATGGTAGATGAGCAGAATCACGAAGGTATTGCAAGAAGAGAGAGCATCAAGTCTATTATCGCACATTGCACACCGCTCCCTCGAAGTGAAAGCAGATGTAATGGATATCAGTCTCGCGCGCGCGAAAAATCAATACCCATCCTAATGTACGTGGCCATGGGGTGGCTAAAGTGTTGACGACAGTCTAATATAGTGTCTAGGTATTAGCTCGTAGATGCAAATTGGAGACAGAGTGTGAATGTTGGTAGTTGCGCATGGTAGAATTGGCCAAAGGTGCACCCGGCAGGGCGCAACGAGGCGTCGTAAAGGTTACCTTTTTGGATTACTTTCCCTTCAGCTGACAAAGAGAATGCCGTGAAAGGTTGCTGAGATATGAATAAAACAGTCTGCCCCCAGCTAGGACTCGAACTTGAGGCTCATGCTTCCCTGGCAGGGAACTTTCCATTCGGGGCAGTCGGTTGGTATGCCGAGCAAGGGGAGGAGGCGGTCGTAATTGAATCACTTTTTCTGTTTCATGCAGGTGTAATGCTACCCCCCTTTCGCCAGCCCCCCTAAATCGGCGGCAGCTACCTAGGGAAAAATTCGGGAAGGGAGGAAACTCAGAAGAAGCGTCAGGAAGTCGGGAAGTTTCAAAAAACTTTCAGGTACAAAATGGGATTGGGAAAAGGAGGGGGTCGCGCTACTGGAAGAAGGGGATCGTATGTTGGTAGCTGAATGTAAATATCGAAAGCCCAAAGTTCGGAGTTCGAGTCCATCAAAGCATTTCCCTCAAATTCGCTGAATTGATACCTCTCCTTTGCTTCCGTTTGTCGCGTTGAGTAGACGCGCCAAAAAAGCTAAATCACCACCGTTTGCTGCACTCGGAGTCCAAGGCGATCGCAGTTGGTATACCCTGACGAGAGTTAGAATTTCGGAAGATTTCAGATCATCAGACTCTTCTTACCTCATCCTGGCTGCTTTCGCAGCCTCCTCCTCCTCATGAATCATATCGTTTGAGAGATGATTGATGTCATACGGTGAGAACGTGGACAACCTCGGCTTTTCGAACTTTGGCAGTTTTGCAAGCATATCCTCGAGAGAGGTGTTCGCCTACAATACAGCACATTACTTTCGATAGAGCACAAAGGATGATTTGTTCACATTCCCATTTGATGGCTATTCAGCGAATTCTGGTGCAGTTTGGCTTTAGGAGGAGCGTTAAGCACTTCTGCCTACTGCTTGGCTTATTCCATGTCAACTAAGGCAGTGTTCAGACTTCGCGACGCGAGGCAGCGCCTTCGGTCGCGCGTTCGACGCGATCGATGCGCATGCTTTTAACTGCATCGATCGCGTCGAACGCGCGACCGAAGCGCTGCCGTCGCGAAGTCTGAACGCTGCCTAACACCTTCATCTTGGTGAAACGTGTGAACTCTTGTGAAACTGGATAATGGTGCATGTAAGCCACTTCGAGTACAAGAACTAACGGGTATTCACGAGGTGACCTGTACAGGATTCGCTCAGTACCATTTGGTGCCCCCATGCCAAACTGCGCATGAATTTAAGCTACCGTTACAATTTGGGTTACACTGTGACATTTTATTCAAGATCTTTATGTAGTCCACATCATGTGGTGACCATCCCAATATTAAAAAAAAACGACGGCTTGGTACAGGCTCCACTGGGCTCTACTTAGTGTCCACCCAGCCAAACTGCCCCGAACTTCTGCCGTCTTTCATCTGACTTACTATATCTGCTGTGGTGTAACCCATAACCCACGTGTAACGCGTGATACCACCAAAAGGGTGATGTTGCCTTACGCCGAACTCATCTGTTGACTGCAAACTCCCAGATGGGCGATGAAAATCAGAAAAAGGAGCAGTCTAACAGTGACTTGTCCCTGAAAACGAGAGAGCGCGCGAGGGCTGAAGTGTAGCCAGAGATGCCTTTTCAACCAACTGATTGATCCTGAGCATGCAACAATTGGTGGAAGAGGCTACCCTGGCTGCGCTCCAATCCACGCCCCTACACACACCCTCTTGTTTGCTAGGACCATGTTGGGATGTGTGACAAGGCAATCGTGATATACCGCGCTGGTGGGTATGGCGAGCGACGCCGCGCCTAACAGACGAGTTTTCCTTGTCCTGCCTGGCCCTTCGAACAGGAATGTTGAAAGAATGGGGAATCGATACCGCCATGGAGTCTTGTCCTTCGCTTCAGAACAGGTTTCTGCTAAAACTTAGAAACTGATACATATCTAGAATTTGCCGCGTATAGCTGCACGATACGCCGCGCGCGGCGACGCGACAACTTACGATTGTTTTGTCCATCTCCTTTTACGATTGTAGACGCCATCGATCCCGGCCTCCGGAAACCCGCAAGCAATAAGCTTTTTCGGAGATTTCTCGCATGGTCTGTGGGCTACACCACTCAAAGCTGGAGGAGCCCATAAAAGACGACATAACATCAAAATATCAGAACAGCAATTTACCTCATCAAATTTTTTTTCACTTTTTAAATTTTTCAGGGGCCATACCAGGTCAATAAGTTCACCTTTAAAGCAGAAAATAAGACGCTACTTAGCTCACTGCGGTTGAAAATCAATCCAAGTTTTTTCCGCTGTTCGTCTTGAAGTGTTCAATGAGATCGTTGGAAGCTGCCGTAAATCTGGCACTTCACCGCGGGAGAACGCAGTGATTATCTGAAACATTTCCAAAGTGCTTCAAACGCTCAGTTGCCGAAACCGAGTAATACAGCACAGCTTTCCGAACCTCAGCTGGGATTTTTGCTGCGATTGTACACCAACGGGAAGTATCTTCAACACTGTCGCAGCAAAGCTCTTGGAAACACAAATCGGCGTGAAGTCATGGTGGAGTTCTTCGGTGTCACGTAAGCCAGATGGTGGCGTACTACATGCTCAACGTACACTGGACGTTCCTCCTGGTCACTTTCGTCGTTCTTTTCTTCGGCTGGGAGGGCAGGAAGAGTGTGCACTGTAGTATTTGCCTAAAACAAAAACTCTGTAAATTTGAAGAGCGATGAGTAGCAAGAGAAAGGCGTAACAGGGAAAGGTGCCTTTTCATTTTAACGGACGAAGGATGGTGTCCACGACGAGACTGGACCTGACTACCCCGGCAGAAACAGGGTTTGGCGTAGCGCCAGCCAGATTTCCACCAATCGTGGTCGCGCCCTGTCTCCACCAGCTCCGCGCAATTGGTGCAGAACGGGCTTGCATCGCACCAAACCCACCCTTCATGTAACGCTACAGCGTACGCAGCGAACGAAGGTTGGACGGAGATACACCATGTAAGGACGTTGCCAACCAAGTCTTACCGAGTAGACCAGGCCAACAGAATGGTGCCGCAGCATAACGAAAACGCCAGCCCATTTTACGGTCGCCGATAGCCCTTTCCGGCAAACATAGAATTTGTGTAACAGAGCCGCGTAGCGACCGCACGCGTCACGTTCAGTCTGCCCTATGCAATATTAGTTCAGTAACTAAGGGAGACCGTGACTTCAGCGTGGAGAGCTTCCAGCATTAAAAGTTCTCTAGTCAGTAGTTTTCGATTAAGGAGCTGTAAGAGAGTATAAAGAGGGGCAATATGAAAGCCCCTTATGACTCACAGATCATTCCCTAACCTTTTCTACTGTGATAAATAATAACGGGCATTCGCACGCGACTGCGTGCGGACACAGACTCCTCGCGCTTTCTTATCCGGTGCAGCCTCTTTTCTGTGGCCCATCTTTGAACAGGGGGGGGACCCATGGAGAGGTAGGGCGAATCTGGCGCATCAATAGTCGTCTTGGTTAGTGGGACAGGAAGACCTGGCGTCTTACTTTGAATGTAATATTATGCTTGTCTGATTTTTCCCATCTCACTCATGCTCATGCCAATTCTCTTTTCGGAAAATTGATACGAGAGTTCGAAAGAACTAGTCACATACAGTTAGAGTGCAGTTAGTTGATACGACCACCCTACAATGGCCCCAGAAGCGAAAGCACAAAAGCGGAAACGAGCAAAACATCTAGACGACTAGAGGTGGGCAGTCGAACAATACCTTGATTACTTTCGTTTGTTCCTCGTCCAATCCAGGCAGATTTTCGCCTTGAATCACAGCACGAATCAGATCGTGTGGGAGTTTCTCGAGTGGCGGTAAAAACTAAAAATCAAATGCAAAGTGAAATATTAAAGTTGCTAGTGTAAAGCAAAAGCGTGAGCATTTGATTAGTAAAAGCAAAAACGAATGTGAGTAGAGAACAAATACCCCAGACAATCACCTCACACAGCTTGTATGTGAAAGTGAGTACTGATTACAAGCGTCAAAAATCAATACGCATTATAACATGTGCATAAATGAAAACGCCGGAAAATCCAAAAAACGCTCTACGACTCATAAAATTAAAACGGACAAGTTGAAACAACACTGAACTGAATTAGTACGACATTGTCAACGAGTGCACAGCAAGCTCCTAGATCCGCTGCGCATGATTTTTTATTGGATTTTCTGGAAACTGTTAGGAAATCAAAGCACCGTTCAGAACTCGCGATGACGCGCGTCCGACGTACTACCAATGCGACAGCGCAACAATGCCTAAACGAAAAGGCGCCATAGGCGGGTAATGATCGTCTAGTTGGAGAGCGCTGGTGTAAGTACACCGTTTGAATGCTCGCGTACAGCGGCGTTTTCGACGCGTCCACACGCGTCTACAAGAATTATACAGCGCGTCAAAACGCAAAGTCTTGAACGCCGCCTTCGTTAATACAGAAAGGAAACGCTTAGCCTCCTGACGTTTCAAAATTCAGGAATGTGACCAACAAAAAAAGAAAGAATAAATAAATAGAACAATATCACCTTCGAACCATCCTTTGATAATTGGCCTTTTTGAGCTGCAGCAGCTGCCTCATGCATTTTCAGCATATACTGCTGCACAATACTGTCTAAGGTTTCCTTTGGAATGCCGGGAATCTGACCACCACGAGCCACATGAGCGAACAAGGTTTGGGTCCGCATCTGAATATCTCAATAGGTGAATAAAAATTATCAATAGGTGTGATTAATTTGATAACGTCAACGCGGCAAAGGGAAATTGGACCCGGTAATATCAAGCAACTAATTTGCTGGTGATTAGTAGACAATTCGTGATGACAATTTGCTTTTTCAGCTGAAGAAAACAAAGCCAAGTACCTTGCTGATATCGACATCGCCCAGTCCTGGTACATTGACGATAAAGTTCGGAATCGACTGAATCAGTTGCTCGATGTCACTTGCAACTGGCTGCCCTCCAGTGGCGAAACGTACAGCGAGCCGGTGACACTTCAAAGAAGGAATCTTTGACAAAAAAAAGAAAATCGGCTCGTGGCGAGAGATGACAAGATATGTATCGTATAAATATCGCTGAGGCCGTCAATTTGTTCGCTCTGCCAGCGCAGCAGGGCACCTATCGGAGACTGGCATACTTCGCATAGACGGAATAGCCTGAGAATTTTATTTTAGCGCGGTGAAGCTACCGTATAGGCAAGGTTGAAGGTCGTAGAGCTAAGACACACCTGTGACAGCGTGTTGAGAATTGGTAGACCGGCAGCGGCTGTCTCTAAAGCGCCACCTCCGTTGCCAGAGCCTGCAGGAGCCGATCGCAATCCGGGCAAAAAAGCCGATAAGAATGACCTGTAAATACAGGAATCTCTACAGGTAGCAAACATCACACACCGTAATCGGAACTTCGGACTGAACCGTTGACTTTGATCACTATTGGAATCGCGAGTGTCTTTCATGCATTCTGTCAACTGTTTCATTACTTTCTTTTATCATCAGATCCTTTGAGCTCTGAATGGAATTGGCTTAATTGGGAGCAATATAAACCGGACTACTTTGACGCTTTTCTTTTTCCATACACTTAAGAAGCGGGCGATATGTCAAAGACGCGTGCGGTTGTGACACGGTTGTTGCTGAGAGCGACCGCGCCACAGCCGCACGCGTAGACGACTACAACAAAGGTATATAGCAGAATACAAATACATCTCGCTTTCACGGACTGCACAGCGTACTTTTCGGGACCAGCGCAGGTGATTTCGGGCTGGAACGGCAGGAACGTACGTATCCGATTTGTCACCAAATATCGCACAAACCAATCAAAATCGTCGTCGCATATCAACGGGTTTCCTTTAAAGAACCATCGTAAGAGTAGGCTACCTCACAAAAGAAAGACAGTAAGGTACATGTAAGGCCACGGCCTTTACAATAGCAGATCAGCTTAGGAATCAGCGCATCCAGGAATACTCGGCGTTACGTTAGTTCCAGGTAAGTATTTTATGGCACTCGGGCTTCCTTGGGCATACACCGAAATTTCTTATGCGTTTGTTTGCAATTTCCACGTTTTGAATGTAGCACAAAGGAGCTCCTTCGGCTTACCTTGTATAAGTTCTAACCGTCGTTTATCTCGACCGTGCATTCCGAAAGGAAGGCAGGGTGGCTCGGAGGCGGGCCGTTACTACAAACATATTGTGGCATAACAGACGGCTGGCGAGAGAGCGCCAAGTCACATGGCGCAACTCAGTCCTTTCCCCACAGGGCCTGAATGTCTAGCTGACCCAAACATCGTGGCCCGCTGCCTAAGCAAGAGAATAACGCTCCCGGTGGTCGAAAAGACAGAGACCCCCATCCTAAGTACTCCTCCCCTCTCAGTTCCTAAACAACACTCCTAGATTCGTCGCAAAAAAAGAAATCAAAAGAGCGTGTTCGGGAGCAATAGTTACATATTAAAAATGCGGACATCATAAGGCAAGGGTGGGGTCGGTTACCGCTGCGCTCCTTCATTGGCGTTTATTGACGCGAGGATCGCGTGGGCGATCGCAATGAGGATGGTAAAGGTCTACTCTCCCCATCACGGAGCCAGCAAGTTGACTAGGGGTTCTAACGGAGTGGCTGTAGAGCTACTTCGCTTTTGAATTGCCAAAACTACGCTCAGGTTTTGGGAGGGCAAACCTGGGAACGCCTTGAGAATTCTCGCCTGTGGACTACCGCCGCGCAATCACAAAGGGCTCTCTTAAGGCCCTTTTGAATCATCCTCTTGGCACTATTGACGAAGCATCCCAACAGTCTTTTAAATTGGCGACGCTTGGGGCGTGTGCAAGTGGCGGGGCGAGTACTTTCCAGCCATCGTGGCTGGCCACTTACCACAATTGTTGCTCAAGAGGATGGCTGAGCCAGGAACCCAGACGGAACAGGCGATACTTGCAAGTTCAATGGAACAGAAGCGACATTTTTCCTCATTGTGGTAGCCTATAGAGATTCACCCAAACCAATCATGAAAGGTTAACCGTACCATCTAGAAGAAGGTTAAGCAATTTTTGTGTCGAATGTGCCTTCTTCAAAACCAGTCAGCTGATTATTCGATAAATCCAACCAAAACAACTTCGTCTGATGTGAAAATGTCCTCTGAAAGTGCAATAATGTCAACACCTTATCATTATCAGATCCAATAGGGTGGGAAAATACCTTGGCGATTTTGGTCAAGCTATTATGAGCTAAATCCAGAGTCGTCATGAATCGCAGCGAAGCGAAAGTGTTCTCATCCACTGACGTCAAAGAGTTATTGCGCAGATTCAGTTGTTGCAGATTTCGCATCCCGTCTAGCATTCCTCTCTCTGAAGCAAAGCAAAAACTGCTGAAGGTCGTAAATAAATAAATAAACGCAGTGTAACACTCGCCCAATATACCAGTACGATCGCCCGGCTAACGCCGAGCTCTCCTCCTTCTTGGAAGCCCGGCTTCGCCGGGCTCATGCAACTGCTTTAGAGTCGTGACTAATCGCTGTCTTCTAATCAAATGAATGTAGAAACGCGCCATATGATCGCAGGGCACTTTCATAATGAAAAGTTCAAAATCTGGTTCATGGATAATCCGATTACTCTCCTCCATCTCATGACAGCCATGGATGCTTCGGTCTCCGCAGTCGCTGCGTGCTCCTGTTCAGGCGAGCGTCGGTCGCGCCAATATGGTACCCCTTCACCCCACCTATGCCCAAACTGTCAGCTATTCCCCGCTCAGCCACCCTACAGGTCACGCTCAGCTGCTACCGAATGCAATGGTTCTGAGTGCACTAAATGGTTGTGTTATGTTGTGGAGGGTGTTATGACTATCAAAACGCTACCACAATTTGATAATGCAACATTAATCGGTTCAGTTCCGATTGCGGTCGATTTTTCTTCCCATCTTGTCGCAACCGTAGACGCCTTACCGCTGCAGGCGCTATGTGTCCTATTCGCAAATCGCCTAGTTCTCATGCTGCCCCCCACACGTCTAGCTGCCCACTGACCCTATTTTTGGGCCCATCCGCACGTGGATGCAGCCGCCACGTGAGCAGCTGGTGCAACATAGGGACACTACGCCGCCACTGTTCTTACCACCGCCTTGCTCGTGCTCACGTCCAGCTCCCAAGCGAGCAGCTCCTGCAATAGCAAGACTCTATCGCAGTGGTTGGCTTAGATAGGGGAGCTATTCACAATCCAAACAGCTTCCTAGTTCGTTGCTGTAACATTTAGCTTGCAGTTTTGCTAGGGGTTCTTTCCTTCTGTCTTGCCGCCTGCTCCTATCCAAGCGTACGCTACGCATCCCCTTACTGTACCCAGTTTGCCCGATTCAATCCATATGCCTCCCCCTGCATGGGCTCAGATCCGACTGAGTACGCGCAAGGAAGTGAGGATGGGAGAAGGGGTCACTCGATACTAACTCCCACCTTCCTCACCTCACCCCATCCGTATACTCGCCATTTACCCCGCCCCCCCACCCCAACCCCCCCACCTTGCCCCTTGCACGCGCTTACGTCCAACTGCCACGCGAGCAACCCGTGCAATGGCTCGGAGTGTAGTGGTTTTCTTATATAGTGGAGAGTGTTATCACAACCAAAACAACTTCTTAGTTCGTTACGGTAACATAGATTGGCTTACAGTTTTGTTAGCGGTTGTTTCCTCATCA